GAGTTCAAGCGCCAGCCTGGCAACACAGCGAAGACCTGCATCTCAAAAGGAAACAAAAAAAGCCATTAAATGATTATTAAAACATGCCAATGCCTTCCAGAAAAGATGTCCAATTTATATACTCCCACAAGATAAAGAAGCCACCTCAGGTCAGCAAAAACCATAGCAGGGCCTAAATCCTGTTTTTGTCATTCTGTGAGCTAAGAATGGTTTTATATTTTTAAATGCCTGAAAGCAAATCAAAAGAAGAATTACAGTTTATAAAACTGCTTTACAATGTGTCATGCACTATCTAATCTTTGCATTTATTAGCTCTCATTATCTTCACACCAATCCATGCACTAGGTACTATTGTTCATTTCATACATAAGAAAACTAAAGCTTCCAGATAAAGTAACTAGTCAAAGATCACACAGCTAAGAGTCCATGCTCTTAACCTGCTCCACATGAAAAGTTCTCCAATTACTGTGAGGGCAGTATGTGTAAGTGCCCAGACAGATGTGTGGAACACATTCTGCGAGAGTTCCCAAGAGAGATCACGTGCTTGTGTTTCACAGAAGCAAGGAAGGTTACAGGAAAAGGAGGCCACGTTTCTACCATAACAGGAAACACTAACTTTAAACCCTAGTTTTGCCTCTCAACCTGCAAGGTAAAATATTACTATATAGCCATTTACCAAAAAAAGTTTGCCAACTTCCCTTTGTTTATGCCATCTCTTCACTTACAGAATTGTTAAGTCGTTTACATTTTTTCTTTAAAAAATTACCTGTTATGTGCCTGTTTCACCACTGCTATTCAACATTATACTGGAGTTCTAGTCAGAGCAATTAGATAAGAAAACAAATAAGACCAGGTGCGGTGGCTCACGACTGTAATCCTAGCTCTCTGGGAGGCGAGTGGGCGATCGTTTGAGCTCAGATTCGAAACCAGCCTGAGCAAGAGAAGACCCTGTCTCTACTATAAATAGAAAGAAATTAATTGGCCAACTAATAGTATATTAGAAAAATTAGCCAGGCATGGTGCGCATGCCTGTAGTCCCAGGCTACCCGGAGCTGAGCAGGAGGATCACTTAAGCCCAGGAGTTTGAGGGTTGCTGTGAGCTAGGCTGACACCAGGGCATCACTCTAGCCGGGCACAAAGTGAGACTCTGTCTCAAAAAAAAAAAAAAAAGAAAGAAGAAAGAAGAAATAAAAGACATCTAACTTTTGAAGAAGTAAAACTATCTGTATTCACAGATGACATCAGTTCTACCAACTAAAATTATATAGAAAAAATTAGCTGGGCATGGTGGCGCATGCCTGTAGTCCCAGCTACTTCGGGGGGTGGGGGGCTGAGGCAGAAGGATCGCTCAAGCCCAGGAGTTTGAGGTTGCTGTGAGCTAGGCTGAAGCCATGGCACTCTAGCCCAGGCAATAGAGTGCGACTCTGTCTCAGAAAAATAAATAAATAAAATAAAATATTTAAAGTATGTTGCCATGTTTTCATCTCAAGTTTTTATAAACCTAAAACAGTCTTCTCCTTCTTCTTTTGCCTTTGACTTGAAGAAATAGGGTCAGTTGTCCTACGGGATAATCCCACATTCTGGATTTGTCAGACTGTTTCCCAAAGGCCTGAGTAGATTAAGGATCAACATTTCACAGGAGGCATATAGTCTGGCTGTTCTACTCTTAGTAACATTGATCAGTGGGGTTTACAATGTGAAGTTGTAAACCCCACTATAAACCTCCCCCCAACAAATAATCTGTGAATACCCAGTTCCTCATCAACTTTTCATTTAATGGCTTTGTTCTCTGGCTCTTTTCATGCAATATTATGATTTTCTAACTTTTAAAAAATACTTATTATCTGGAATTCTTCTGTAAAATTGAGCTTTCCCCCATCAACTAATATTTATTTGGTTACAAAAGTATTTGAAATCTCCACATATATGTAATTGTGAGAATTGTTGTGTCTTTCTTTATAGACTGAGTGGTCCCAGGTAGGCGGACACTATGCTCTATTGATCTTTGTATTACTATTCCTAATGCCTAATATAGTGATAGTACATAGGATGCATTTAATAAGCCAAACAAATAATAAATTTTTGAGCCAACTTAAAGATCTGGTGAACCTCTCTGAAGAGATTTGCTGGATCATAGATTATTCTTTAGTTAAACCTCAGAGACTTGGCAATGAGGCCCATCTTGTAATTAAGTTTACTATTCAAAGCAACAAAAATAAAAAGCTCGCTGCCATAAGGACTTCAGTTGCATATTTGAAATTCAAAGTGAGAAAAAATATATTACCCTTATGTGGATTTTCCTAGCAGGATTTTGCTAACATTGGGTGACTGTCAAGTAACCATAACCTGAACAAATCTTTTCATCAAGTTCTCCCATATTTTCAACGAAAAACCAAAAAGGTACTACTACAACTTGGAAAACGAATGCTTTAAACCTTCATACATTTCTTTTTCGTTTCATTTTGTTTTGTTTTGATATACAGGGACTCCTCTTTGTTGCCCGGCTAGAGTGCAGTGGTGTGATCATAGCTCACTGTAGCCTCAAACTCCTGGGCTCAAGGGATCCTCCCAACTCGGCCTCCCCAGTTGCTGGGATTCCAGGCGTGCATTTCCTTATCTTTAAAACATACCTATTAAAATATAACAGCGGCATGAGTTATATTTGGGTCAGTCACATGGCGTGGGGTGGGGAACCTGCAGCCTTGAGGCCGAAGGATTTCCTGAGCATCCGTTCTGCCCGGCTGGGACTTGGGCACCAGTCCCTTCCCTACAAAGTCCCGGGCTCCGCCCGCCCCGCGTCCGCCCCGCGCCCAGGCTCCGCGCCGCGGCCCCGCCCATCCTCTTGCCGCGACCCCTTCGGCCCCGCCCGCAGACCGCGTTCTTCCGCCCTGGGCGGCCCCCCCGCGCCACCCCCGGCCCTCGGCCCGCCCACCTGCTTCCCGTGGCTTCTGCGCGCCCGCTTTTACGTGATTGGTTCCTGCACGTGTCACTCCAGGGCCCAGAGCCCGCCATTGGCCGGTCTTCGTCACGCCGCCGAAGAGGATTAAGGCCGAGCGCGGAGCGCGGGGAGGCTGGGTGAGTGTCGCAGCCGGTTTCCCGCGGCGGTTTGCCGAACTCCCACCCACCATGGAGCCGGTTGTGGAGGGAGCGGCCGCGACCGCAGGTCCCGTGTCGGGCGCCCGCGCCAACGATGAGCCCCCCGAAGTCGAAGAAAGAGTCGGAGCAGCGGTGGAGGAGAAGGACGCCGCCGCGAGGGGAGCGGAGCCCGTCGGGGACAGCGAGGAGGACGGAGAGGACGTGTTCGAGGTGGAGAAGATCCTGGACATGAAGACCGAGGGGGTGCGTGCGGCAGGGCCGCGCTCGCGGGGCGGAGGCCGGGCGGCGGAGACGCCGGGGTGCGGGGACCCGGCGCGGGCGGGGGCGCGGTGACACTGCCGAGCGGGCTCTGGGGCCGTGTGCGGAGTGCGCCCGCGAGCTCGGAGGGTGGATTGGCCGCGGAGCGGGCTGTCGGCAGGGGCCGCACCGGGGAGGGACTGCTGCGGCCGGGGCGTCTGGGTGCGTGGCGGGCCGCTAGCCCCGCGGGGAAGGGGCGGCGTGAGACGGCCGAGTCGCGTTTCTCTTCGCGGTCCGCGGTCCGCGCCGTGATTCCTAAGCCCGTGACCGATCCTCTGAGGTGTAAAGTCTCTAGGAATCCCCGTCAGCCCTCGGAGTGGGATCCAGTCTCACTCTAGAGGGAGGCGTTCAAAGGTCTTCAAAGCCTGGCGGGCTTCGTTCCTCACCCCCACGGTCGCGCGGGTGCAGCCTCGCAGTGACACCTGAGAGTCATCGTCACGCATGCCCTGGCGCTTAACTGCGCTCCTGGCCTGACCGTTGTCTTCCCTGTCCTTGTGGTGAAATCCTACCCCGTTTTTAAGGCCTCAGGGTCCATTTCTCTGGGGAAAGCCTCTCGTTAAGACCTCCATGAAGGCACTGAAGACATTATTCTTCATGTTTGTTTGTCCCAGATTGTGCGCTCCTTCAGGCCTGGAGGGGAGCGTGGACGCTTGGAAAACAATGTTTTAATAGTTGGGTGTGAGGTGACCAGGGGGCCCATGCAGTGGTCGGTCTCTGTGTTGTATTCTTTTTATTGTCTGTTAATTCTCATGTGACTTATGTTACTTTGTGTTAATTTTTTATTCAGCAAACACTTGTTTGTTTTATCAACTGCTGTGTGCCAGATGCTGTGTTAGGTCCTCACAGTATAGAGATTAATTGAAGCCTACACAGTTGCAGACACTGGAGAGTTCTCTTGACCAGGGAAATAATTGAAATCCAGTGTCATTAATAGTGTTACTTGCAATACAGCAAAGGTAGAAATGTGGTTATGTATAGTATAATTTCTCCAGATATATTGTAAGCACCTTGAGGTGAGAGGAGAAGCCAGTTGTGGACTGTTTTGTATTGCCTGCATTTAACACAGTGCATGGCACATAGAAGGTATTTAGAAAATGTTTGTCTAGGTGGGTAATATCTTTAGAATTAAGATGATTCACCTATCCCTACAGTGTTTAATTTTGCTGGCCTCAAAGAATTGTAGGCACTGTAGGCCCTGTGTTTTAGTTTAAAGGTCGATGAAACTAAGAAACTTAACTGTTATAAGTAAGGCAGTTAGGCTTTAGTGATAAAAGGTTGAGTTAAAATTCTAGTTCTTGGATTTTTAGGTGCTCTTATTAAATAAACGATTTATAAGATGAAAGGTATTATGAGTTCAGCAGAACTCAGCTGTGGCAGTTGATCTATTAGCTACTGAGTGAGCCAGCTAGTTGTTCTGCCATCTAGTCATTCACAAACATAGGGGTTCTGATAGTGGTTTGCTAGGCTTCCTCATAGTCTAAGGGTTTAAAATTAATCCAAAAAACTGAAAAATTGACTCTTTACAAATTTGTATATTTCCTTTTTAAAATATTTTTCTTTTTCTTTTTTATTTATTTATTTTTAGTTGGCCAATTAATTTCTTTCTATTTTTAGTAGAGATGAGATCTCAACTCTTTCTCAGGCTGGTTTCGAACTCCTGAACTTGAGTGATCCTCCTGTCTTGGCCTTCCAGAGTGCTAGGATTACAGGCATGAGCCACTGCGCCCAGCCTTATATATTTTTTGTTTGCTAACTTACATATGAATAGCTGGCCTAAGAACTATGGAAATATATACATACACTATTCCAACACATACATTATTATTTATAATTTATTTAGGGTGATAGAATAAGTGAATAAGCAAAAAATTAAATTCTAATACTGCATATTGTTTAATTTCCAAATATTTGAAGATGTTACGTTTATCTTTTTAAAAATGATTTCTAGGTTGTGTTTTGGTCAGAGGATATTTTCTATATTATTATGGTCTTTGACATTTGTGGAAACATGGTTCATGGTCTAGCATGTGGTCATTTCTGGTAAATGTTTCACATGCACTTGAAAATAGATCTTCAATTGTTAGGTGAAATTGGTCAGGTTTGCTAACTGTGCTGTGATGTTGAGGTAGTGCTTTGCTTTTGGGGGGGGTTCTTGATTGCGCTTTCTATGTGTTTCCCTGTAGAGATGTGTTTAAATGTCCTATTTTGATTTAGTCCTTCCCTTTCTTTGTAAATTATATAATTTCTGCTATATATGCTTGTTTTGAGTTTTGCTTTGGAATTATTAAATGTTTTTGGTGAATTTAGTTTTTGCGGGGTTGGGGAGGTGGTTTTTTTTAATCCAGGCTAGTCTTTCTACTTCATAATCATAATATTGATTGTTGTAACTGTTATTTTTTAATGTGATACCTGTTAAAGTTATACTAAATTTTTACTTCTATTACTAACATGCTTCTAGAAAGGATAATAGTCTGTAACCTTTGTGTACAGTGGAGAGCTGCTTGAGCTCTTGTTCCACTAAGGAGGTTTTAGGAAAAACCCAACCTGCTAATATTCGGTAGAAATCCATTGGAATGCTTAATTACAGTTGTACATTTCTATTAACATTTCATATTCATAATGCATTCAGACCCACTGGCCTTGATTTCTTTTTTGTTTTGTTTTTGAGAGACTGAATCTCACTCTTGCCCAGGCTGGAATGCAGGGGTGTGATCATAGTGTACTGTGGCCTCAGACTCCTATCTCAGCCTACCCAGTAGCTAGGACTGCAGGTGTGGGCCAGCACAGCCAGCTAATTTTTTTTTTTTTTTTTTTTTTTTTTTTTTGAGACAGAGTCTCACTTTGTTGCTCAGCAGAGTGAGTGCTTTGGCGTTAGCCTAGCTCACAGCAACCTCAATCTCCTGGGTTCAAGCGATCCTCCTGCCTCAGCCTCCCGAGTAGCTGGGACTACAGGCATGCACCACCATGCCTGGCTAATTTTTTTGTATATATATTTTTTAGTTGGTCAATTAATTTCTTTCTATTTTTAGTAGAGATGGGGTCTTGCTCAGGCTGGTTTCAAACTCCCGACCTCAAGCAATCCACGCTCCTCGGCCTCCCAGAGTGCTAGGATTACAGGCGTAGGCAGCACATCTGGCCTAATTTTTAAAATTTGTTGTAGAGATGGGATCTCACTATGTTGCCCAGGCTGGTCTTGAACTCCTGACCTCAAGTGATCCTCCCATCTTGGCCTCTCAAAGTGCTGGTATTGTAGGCATGAGCCACCAGGTGTGGCTGTTTTTTTTGTTTTGTTTTTGAGACAGTCTCGCTTTGTTGCCCAGCGCTAGAGTGATGTGCGTGGTGTCAGCTTAGCTCACAGCAACCTCAACTCCTGGGCTCAAGTTCCTCCCTGCCTCAGCTCCCGATAGCTGGGCTACAGGCATGCAACCATGCCGCTAATTTTTCTATAAACTACTTAGTTGCCAATTAATTTCTATTTATAGTAGAGATGGGGGTCTCGCTCTTGCTCAGGGTAGTTTCGAACTCCTGACCTAGAGCAATCCTCCCGCCTTGGCCTCCCAGAGTGCTAGGATTACAGGCGTGAGCCATCGGTTCCCGGCCGGTGGTGGTGGTGGTGGTGGTGGTTGTTGTTTTTAACAAAAATTTTAAGCTAACTATCTAGTATATATGATCTGGTATGATAGTAGGGTTATCTCCTGCCTTTTACTTTGGCTCATCAGTTAAGCTAAATGAAAACTTTGACTATCAAGAAAATAGACCAGGGACAGAGTGGGGCAAGGCCAGAGCTTGAGGGCCTTGCTGAGGGCAGTCCCTGGTGCACCAGCGCCCCGCCTCCCTGTACTCCGCTGGCCCAGGGCTCCTGGCTCACCCTCCTGCCTCTCCATCCCCTGTCGCCTCCAGACTGGTCCCACAGGGAACACAGGTTACCCAAATCATGTGTTTTCATAAGGCCTCCTGTTTTCTGAAACTGCTTGTTAGCCACCTATATTAAAGTCATCCTTGCAAGAAATGGGACAGAAGAAGCCAAACAGCACATTCAAAGAGAAGGTCCATGTGAGATTTTTTTTTCTGGGAATTATTGGGTCTCCCTCTGTCACCCAGACTGGAGTGTAGTGGTGCGATCACAGCTCACTGCTGGGCTCAAGCAGTCTACCTGCCTCAGCCTTCCGAGCAGCTGGGACTATAGGTGTGTGCCACCATTCCTGGCTAATTTAAATTTCTTTCTAGAGATGGGGTCTTGCTATGTTGCCCAGGGTGGTCTTGTACTCCTGGCTTCAAGCAACTCTCCTACTTTGGCCTCCCAAAGTGCTGGAATTACAGACATGAGCCACTGTGTCCAGCATCTTATTCAGAAATATACAATAATACATTATTAACTCTAGTCACCCTGCTGAGCAACAGATCTCACAACTTATTCCTCCTATGAATATGAAACTTTGTACCCTATAATTAGCAGCTCTCCATTCCCTCCCTCTAGACCCCACTCCAGCCCCTGGTGACTATCATTCAACTCTCTGTGAATTTGACTTTTTAAGATTACACATATTTGCCAGGCGAGGTGGCTCACGCCTGTAATCCTAGCATTCTGAGAGGCCGAGACGGGCAGATCGTTTGAGGTCAGGAGTTGGAAACCAGCCTGAGCAAGAGTGAGACCCTGTCTCTACTATAAATAGAAAGAAATTAATTGGCCAACTAATATATATATGAAAAAATTAGCCGGGCATGGTGGCGCATGCCTGTAGTCCAGCTACTCGGGAGGCTGAGGCAGGAGGATCTCCTGACGAGGAGATTGAGGTTGCTGTGAGCTAGCTGACGCCATGGCACTCACTCTAGCCTGGGCAACAAAGTTGCCCTGGGCAACTCTGTCTCCAAAAAAAAAAAAATTAGCTCTTTGACCCTTTTTAGTTAATTTGTTATGAGGTGTGAGGTTAGGGTCCAACTTCATTTATTTGCATATAGAAATGCAGTTATCCCAGTGCAGTTTATTTCCCATTGCACGGACTTACCACCCTTATCAAAAATCAGGTGGTAATAGATGTTTGGGTTTCTCTCTTAACTCTATGTCCTTTTCTGGCACCACACTAGTTTGACTACTGCAGCTTTTTAGTGACTTTTGAAATTAGGTAGTATGAATCCTCCAATTTTGTTCTTTTCAAGATTATTTTGGCTATTCAGGGCATCTTACAATTCCATCTGAATTTAAGGATTGACTTTCCTTTTCTGCAAACAAGGCTATTGAGATTTTGATAGAGATTGTACTGAATCTGTAGATCACTTTGAGTAATTTGATATCCTAGCAATATTAAGTCTTTCTACCTAAGAACATAGAAAGTATTTCCATTTATTAGATTGTCTTTAGTTTTTTAAGGAATGTTTTTATAGTTTTTAGTGTACAAGTCTTCTACTCTTGGTTAAATTTATTCCTAAGTATTTTATTCTTTTAGATGTGATTCATTCTTATTTTCTTTCGGATTGTTCATTGCAGATGTATAGAAATACATCTGATTTCTGTATGTTCATCTTGCACCCTGCAGCTTTGCTGAATTCATTTATTAGCTCAAGTAGCTTTCTTGTAGAATTCTTTGGGATTTTCTATATGTAGGATGATGTCATCTGTGAATACAGATAGTTTTAATTCTTCCTAAGTTAGATGTCTTTTATTTCTTTTTCTTTCTTTCTTTTTTTTTTTTTTTTGAGACAGAGTCTCACTTTGTTGCCCGGGCTAGAGTGAGTGCCCTGGTGTCAGCCTAGCTCACAGCAACCTCAAACTCCTGGGCTTAAGTGATCCTCCTGCTCAGCTCCGGGAGCTGGGCACTAAACAGGTCATGCGCCACCATGCCTGGCTAATTTTTCTATATATATTAGTTGGCCAATTAATTTCTTTCTATTTATAGTAGAGACAGGGTCTTCCTCTTGCTCAGGCTGGTTTCGAACTCCTGAGCTCAAACGATCCGCCCACCTCGGCCTCCCAGAGAGCTAGGATTACAGTCGTGAGCCACCGCACCTGGTCTTATTTGTTTTTCTTATCTAATTGCTCTGACTAGAACTCCAGTATAATGTTGAATAGCAGTGGTGAAACAGGCACATAACAGGTAATTTTTTAAAGAAAAAATGTAAATGACTTAACAATTCTGTAAGTGAAGATGGCATAAACAGGAGTTGGCAAACTTTTTTTGGTAAATGGCTATATAGTAAATATTTTAGACCTTGCAGGTTGAGAGGCAAAACTAGGGTTTAAAGTTAGTGTTTCCTGTTATGGTAGAAACGTGGCCTCCTTTTCCTGTAAAACCTTCCTTGCTTCTGTGAAACACAAGCACGTGATCTCTCTTGGGAACTCTCCAGAATGTGTTCCACACATCTGTCTTGGGCACTTACACATACTGCCCTCACAGTATTGGAGAACTTTTCATGTGGAAGCAGGTTAAGAGCATGGACTCTTAGCTGTGTGATCTTTGACTAGTTACTTTATCTGGAAGCTTTAGTTTTCTTATGTATGAAATGAACAATAGTACCTAGTGCATGGGATTGGTGTGAAGATAATGATGAGCTAATAAATGCAAAGATTTAGATAGTGCATGACACATTGTAAAGCAGTTTTATAAATGTAATTCTTCTTTTGATTTGCTTTCAGGCATTTAAAAATATAAAACCATTCTTAGCTCACAGAATGAGCAAAAACAGGAGTTAGGCCCTGCTATGGTTTGCTGACCCTGAGGTGGGCTCTTTATCTTGTGGGAGTATAAATTGGACCATCTTTTCTGGAAGGCATTGGCAGTGTTTTTTAATAATCATTTAATGGCTTTTTTTTTTCCTTTTGAGATGCAGGTCTCGCTGTGTTGCCCAGGCTGGCCTTGAACTCCTGGGCTCATGTGGTCCTTCCACCTCAGCCTCCTAAAATAGCTGGGACCACAGGTGTGTGCCACTGTGCCCAGTGAATAGCCATTTAAAAAAAAAACTCCATTGATGTATTTTTTGGGAGTCTATTTTAACAACCTAATCAGAGATGCACAAGGATATTACAGCTTTATTTATAGAAACAAAAAATTGGAAAGAAACAAAACCTTTGTAACAAAAGGAGAATTTTTGTTGTAGTTATGATGTAATGATCTTCAGTCACTAAAAATCACGTTTTTGAAAAATATTAAAGAAGTGCTTGATATATAAGTGTAAAAGCAAGATTAAAAATTATATTATCCAGTGGTTTGTTTTTGTTTTTTTGTTTTGTTTTGTTTAGATTTTTTGAGACAAAGTGTCACTCGATTGCTCAGGCTAGAGTGCAGTGGTGTGATCACAGCTCACTGCAACCTCAGACTCCTGGGCTCAAACAATCCTCTTGTTTCAGCCTCCCAAGTAGCTGAGACCACAGGTGCGTGTCACCATACCTGGCTAATTCTTCTATTTCTCATAGAGATGGGATGGGGTGGGGTTTTGCTGTGTTGCTGCGGCAGGGCTTGAACTCTTGGCCTCAAGTGATCCTCCTGCCTCAGCCTCCCAAAGGAGTAGGATTACATGCGTGAGCCACCATGCCTGGCCTCTATCCCAGTGTTTTAAAAAACATACCATATATATGTTAATAAATGCATAGGTGAAGGAAAAGAGATCAAATTGTTATCATTGTCTTTGGATGATTTGTTTGGTTCTTCCTATTTTCATTGCTTTTCAAATATTACATTTTTATAGATCAGTGATAGTGTTTTTCTTAAGCCACTTGTTTGAAAGTTCTTTCATATCTTCTCAGCAGTTGTGTGTTTTGGGAAATTTAATCAAGTCAGTAATATCCTTTATTTGCCTTTTTAAAATTTATGGAACAGGGTAGGGTGCTTTACAAGGTCCGCTGGAAAGGATATACATCAGACGATGACACCTGGGAGCCTGAGGTCCACCTGGAGGACTGTAAAGAGGTACTTCTTGATTTTAGGAAGAAAGTTGCGGAGAACAAAGCCAGAGCAATCAAGAAGGACATTCAGGTATCATCTTTTGACTCACATTTGGTTTTTTTTGTTTGTTTTTATGTACGTAGTTTATTATAAATATTGTTTTAAAGTATATGTTGTAAATAATTTACAAACAACAAAATATACAATATTCCTTAGTGTAAATTCCATATAGCCAGTTGATTCTTACATAATTGCTTTCAGTGATTTATTTTTGCTGAATTCTCCTTTCTGTATCCAACCTATGATTGTGTTTGACAAACACGTGTAGTTTGGATGTGAATATTGGCATTTTCCTTTAAGTTAGGAGTAACATGAAAGTAGGGGAAAAAGGACATGTCAAAACATTTATCCAAGATGTGAGGAACTTGTTTTTGTATATTTTATGTTTAATCTGCATTATTAGCCTATGTTTTATGTCTGCTTTTTCTGCTAGTTAAAATAATTCTTAGATCACTTCATAAGGTTGTAAATCTTAGTCCATTTCAGATTATTCACAGGCAGCTTTTCCGGGTTTTTTCTTTTCTATTTGCACTTCAATCTTTAGCTATTTTATTGCTTTTTAGTAGCTCTTCCTGATAGTAGGCGAGAATGAAGAGATGGGAGGAACTCAGATAAGTCAAACTTCTATCATGAGCAGTTTGGAAAAAGATTTCAATGGTAGGCTGGAGTTGGGTAATGTGAAACTAGTGCACAAACTTGATTTCTGGGTCTTCCTTCATGGATTTGTCTTTTTGTTGTTGTTGAGACTGAGTTGCCCTCTGTTGCCCGGGTTAGGGTGCTACGACATCATCATAGCTCACTGCAACCTCAAACTCTTGGGCTCAAGTGATCCTCCTGCCCCAGCCTCCCAAGTAGCTGGAACTACAGGTGTGTGCCACCACACCTGGCTAATTTTTAAATTTTTGTAGAGACAGGGTCTCACCCTTGCTCAGGTTGGTCTCGAACTACTGAGCTCAGGCTATCCTTCTGCCTCGGCCTCCCAGTGCGCTAGGATTATAGGCATGAGCTACCACGCCTGGCTAACACACTATTATTTATAACCCACTATGAGACTGTTATTGTTCACTCCTGCTTCTGTTTGGGGCATTCAGCAGCACTAAAGCTTTTTTGTCCCTCTGACTGTGTCAGCTTTTAAAAATTGATGTCCATCATCACCAGCAGGACCTATGTGCTAAATCAATTATATAAGAAGTAGTATATAACTTCAGTTTAGGTAAGTAATTTTAAGGATTTGAGATTCTGTTTGGGAAGAAAACATTTCTACCAGATTTCATTGGTACTACTTTTCAAAGCCCTTAATATTTTTGTTAATGAGTATTTTTTAACCTTTTTTGTATTTTATAGAGACTATCCTTAAATAATGATATATTTGAGGCAAACTCTGATAGTGATCAGCAAAGTGAGACAAAAGAAGATACTTCCCCAAGGAAGAAAAAGAAAAAATTAAGGCATAGAGAAGAGAAAAGCCCAGATGATCTGAAAAAGAAAAAAGTAAAGACTGGGAAACTGAGAGATAAATCCAAACTAGACCTGGAGAGCTCCTTGGAAAATTTTGTTTTTGATTTAAGGACAAAGAAAAGAATTTTGGAAGCCAAAGAAGAATTAAAGGAATTGAAAAAGCCCAAAAAAGATGAAATAAAAGAAACTAAAGAAGTAAAGAAAGTTAAAAAGGGTGAAATAAGGGATTTAAAGACTAAAATAAGAGAAGACCCCAAAGAAAACAGAAAAACAAAAAAAGAGAAATGTGTTGAATCTCAGGTGGAGTTTGAATCGAGCGCACTTGATGATTCCCCGTTGCAGGAGCACGACAGTGAAGATTTACATTCTGACGACAGAGAAGAGAAACAGAAAATTAAAAGTGCAAAAGACAGAGCAGGGCAAGATGCAGGGCAGGACCAAGCTCTTGATAAACAGCTGGATGGTGTCACAAGTGCTGACGAGGATGCTGATGTCAAGGCCAAGAGGAAAAAAAAATCCCCGAGAAAGGCTGAGGAACCCAAAGAGAACAGGAAGCTAGAAAACAGGAATGCTTTCCTAGAGAAGAAAACTGTGCCCAGAAAGCAGAAGAATCAAGATAAAGGCAAAAGTACCACCGAATTCGAGAAGCTGACGCCCGCCTCTGTCCAGAAGCAAAAGGGTTTGAGATTGGGTGGGGAAGAACGAGGCCTCAGGTCCACCGACCCGACCACCACCATGACCATGACCACGACCACGACCATGACCACGGAGGAGGTAAGGGCAGGCGGGCAGGAGGGATAACCCTGCAGATTACAGAAATACCCGAGCAGACACGCGCCACTGTGAGTGGTCAGGAAGTTTCACAAATAATGAGACAGACAAACTGTAAGACAGTGTTTCCATCACCAGGGAGTTATTGAATAGTGTGACAGCTATGGGCAGTTTTAAATGCCGAAGGTCCTCCAGCCTTTGGACACTGCCCCCACCAAGTTTATCTCTTGATCTGACTTATTTTCTCTTAGATTAACTACAACTAGAAAAGTGAGGACTAACTTGTGAACAAAAGTAGGATATTTTTAGAGGTGCTGAGATACAGCATTGTATAGTTAGGCTTATAGCTTCATTAGCATATTTTGTTAGCTTTTCATATCCTACTTGGTATTTTCCCCCATTATGTTAAGAATGTACTACTGTTTACTTAAATAGTAGTACACAGAGTACATTAAAATTACAAATCTTTTAATTCTTACAATGATATATTTAGTAGAGAATTTGTCCCATTATAAAAATTATTATATGGTTTTTCAAAATGGAAATATTTTCCAAATTATGCAAGTATTTACATATGCAGTATTTATCAAGGGCTATATAAAAGGTCATTTTCTTTTTATCCATTCCCAGTTTTGTGAATTTATCTTAAATCATTTTCAAAGGGGGAAAAAGCTGTATATACAAAGTAACTTATGGCAGTGTTATTTTCATTAGTGAAAAACTGATAGCAGTCTGACTTTCTAGCTGTGGGGGAAATGGTTAAGAAAATGTTGGTGTACCAACTCAGCAACTGTTACAGCTATTGAAATATTGATTTTGAGGTCAAGTGTAGCAAAAACAGGAAAGTTCAGAAGATGTGGAGGAGAAAACCCTATATACATATTAACATAATTATGTAAAAATATCTATGTAAAGAAAAATGAATTTTTTAAAAAATCCTTGCAGAAGTACAAGAATCAGGAGGAGGAACATGAAGAAATAAAAATAGTCATTTCATAAGACTACAGGTGAAATTTTTTTGGAATTTTACTTTTATAGTATTTTTTTGTTTGTTTTTTTTTTGAAGATAGAGTCTTACTCTGTTGCCTGGGCTAGAGTGCTGTGGCGTTAGCCTACCTCACAGCAACCTCAGACGTCTGGGCTCAAGCAATCCTCCTGCCTTAGCCTCCTGAGTAGCTGGGACTATGAGCATGCACCACCATGCCCAGCTAATTTTTTCTATATATTTTTAGTTGGCCACTTAATTTCTTTCTATTTTTAGTAGAGAATGGGGGTCTCGCTCTTGCTCAGGCTGGTTTTGAACTCCTGACCTTGAGCGATCCTCCCGCCTCAGCCTCCCAGAAGTACGTTATTTTTAATAATAAAGTTTTGAGTAGGTAAACCAGTGTTAGGTTTTCAATTTGATATTTTATAAATTATTATATGGTTGGTTAAGGAAGCAGTTTATGTGAAAAGGCTTTAATGATCAGTTTCGTGCAGTATACAAAAGCAGTCACTGAATTGAGGAACCTATATTTTCCAATTTTCAAATGTACAGTGTCAGCTCTTTATCCATTCTTGTTTTGGGTTTTGTTTGTTTTCCTTAGGAGAAAGAGGCCAAAAAAAATGAACCCAAAGAAAAATACCAGAAAAGGCATGATTCAGACAAGGAAGAAAAAGGCCGAAAAGAGCCAAAGGGATTAAAGAGTGAGTCTAAATACAAACATGTTACGTTTGGACTGCCATCCTTCTACAAAGAATTTAGTATGAAGGCAATTTCATTTCTAACATGCAGTGTTATAGAAAATTTCACCGAGAAATTTAGAGTTTTATGCTACTTTTGATTAACCATTTACCTAAGTTTATTATATAACAATTTATATAATATTTCTTTCTGTTCCTCCTTTTCAGTGTTGTGAGGAAGTAGGTTAGAATTACCAACAGAAGAAATTAGTTGTGGCTGAAAAATAAATGTGTCCTTTATAGTGGATGCTAAATAAAACAACTTTTGTTTAATATTAGGTTATTAAGTATGAAATGTCCGATTTACTTTGACAGTTGGTATTTCTGACATTTCACTTTTGTATGTCTTGTTTTATTTTTATTGTGAAAGTATATTCTCAGTCTTTCATACACATGGTTTGGCTTGTGATTATCTTTCAAATTTTTTGTTAAAGCAATTTTGTGAATCCATGGATAAGTCAAAAATTTGTGATATTTTCGAATATGAGTTCTGTTGTGGAACCAGTGCTGCGCAGACACCTCAAAACATCAGCGAAGTGTTTGGGAAGGATGTGGCTAATGAACGCACAGTATGTAGATGGTTTGAGAAGGTCCATTTTGGTGATTTTAATCTTGAAAATGAGCCATTTGGGCAACATGAGACCAAGGTGGATAATGATAAGCTGAAAGCTGTAGTGGAAGAGAATCCATCTCAACCTACACATGAATTAGCAAGGTTTGAGGTTACTATTCCAATAATATTGGACCATTTGAAACAAACTGGTAAGGTAAAGAAGCTGGATAGATGGTTCCGCATGAATTAAGCATCAGAAGAGAAATTGTCTCGAAGCTTGCTTTTCTTTGCTGTCACTACATAAAGGCGAACCATCTCTACACCTTATTGTTACATGTGATGACAAATGAATTCTTTTTGACAATCGCAAGGGTTCAGCACATGGATGGATAAAGAGGAAGTACCAAAACACAGTCCAAAACCGAACATTCATCAGAAAAAGCCAATGGTGTCTGGTGGTTCAGAGCTAGTATTATCCACTACAGCTTCATGAAACCTGGTCCATTACAGCAGATGTCTGTTGCAACCAATTTGACAAAATAATGAGAGTACTTGCGATTAAGCAGCCCAGATTGGTCAATAGAGACAGACCACTCCTCTTGCAAGACAACACTCGACCACATGTCACACAAACAATGCTACTCACACTACAGAAGCTGGACTTGGAAACTCTCTGTCATCTACCATATTCACCAGACTTTGCACCAACTGACTACCACTTCTAGGCCTTGGACCACTTCTTACAAGGAAAAATACTCAGTTCTCAACAATCTGTGGAAAACACCTTTCTCAATTTCATTGGCACTTGCTCTCCAGGCTTCTTTGCTGCTGGCATAAACAAGCTGTTAAGATGGCAGAACTGTGTTGACAGTATAGGTGCATATTTTGATTAACTGTACAGCTTCTTGAGATAAACTAAACTCTTAATTTGAAATTGGACATTTCATATTTAGTGACCTAATATATTCAATATTTAAGTCTCATTTGTGTAAACATAATATCAAAATCACATTTTGCATCATTTCAAGATATGTCATAATTGGGATTCCATAATACATATCAATACTGGGACAAGTACTTTGTAAAGGAAAAAAAAATCACCACTAATGTGTTTGAATAAGCCCTAGAAGATAAGCAGTTTAGTTTATGTACCACGTCCTTGGAACACATGTTTTCTTGGAAGCAGTGATTCTAAGATAAGAGATGGGTAATTGTCTCTGGGTTTTCTCCAAAAGCTATGTCTAACTGAAGTAGTAGGAAAAGTAGATTTTGCTCTGAGCCTGGGCTGAGGCTTGGCGTAGCAGCAGGTAAGTGAAGCTAGGAAGGAGCAGTGGCTGTCTCAGTGAGTCACACATAAAGTGACTGACTACTGTTGTACCCAGAGGTCATGCGAGTTCTTCCTAATTTTGTTCTCTTCTTTTTAGGGTTACTTCTCAGGTGTAGCACTTTGCCAGTGTTCTTCCCAGTTTATCTTTAGTTAAAAGCTGGCTGCGTCAGGTCCGGTTTCCCCAGGTGCGCAGCCAGTGCTCTGCAGCCTGCTGTGCCCCCACTTCCCAGCAGAAACCACTGTGGAACAAGCTTGAAGATCCGGCTGTAGATAGTCTGGTGTCCTTAGCGGTAGGAAAGGTGACAGTGTGAGTAGGGTCACTCTGAGGCCCACTGTTTTCCGTGAGCTGCAGTCACCGCTGGTGGGGAGTAGGTCAGAGCGCCTGCTTAGCAGCTGTTCGCTCTAGACAGCCTCCGTAAACGCTGAGCCGCCCACAGAAAGACCAGCTGAAACAATTTTGTGGCTTCGATAGTAAATCTGACCATGCTTTATGACCAAAGCAGATGTTAGTGAAAATAAAGAAAATATCTATTTTTTAAACATTAACCCAGATTTTCTTTCAATTACAACAGACATTGTGATTCATACTTACCATCAATTTTAATTTTTTCACTAGCATTTAAGGAAATCAGAAATGCATTTGACTTATTTAAATTAACTCCAGAAGAAAAAAATGATGTTCCTGATAGTAATCGGAAACGAGAAGAAGTACCACTGGATTGTAAAACCACAGAAGATCACAAAACCAAGGAAAGCAAGCAATTACTTAAAGAAAGGAGAAACACAAGAGATGAAGCAGATACTTGGGCATACATTGCTGCAGAAGGTGACCAGGAGGTTTTGGACAGTGTGTACCAAATGGATGAGAATGCGGGTGGGTTTGTTTGGAATCATTTTGCAGAATTTTTTCAGGGTATTGCACCATAATATCTCAGTCTCCTGTTCACTATAATTCTGATCTTGATCAGAAAATAATGGAGTAGAAGATTTTATGTGGTCTCCTGCATATTGAAGACTTGAGTCATTCTGTGAATTTAAATGGGCAAACAATTTTTTCTGAGTTCCTGTAATGTGCTCAGCACTTAGAAATTATAAAGATTTCTGATTTTGCTACCTTAAGTATTCTTGCCAGGTGGCCTAATTGTATATCTTCTTAGATTTCTTTCAGAAAATTATCAAATACAAACTTATTTGTATTCGTTATTTTCTTCTTCTTCTTTTTTTTTTTTTTTTAAAACACCTTGTCTCCTACAGTCTTGCCTCAGGGACTTATTTGTATTCTCCCCTTACAACTTTGCAGTAAGTAACACTAAGATACATGATAAATGCCGTCCTGAGGACACGGATTGGTTGAGAAGAAGGGGAGGACCTTGTTATATAGACTACAGAAGACAGCAGCTATGGGACTGAGTGAAAACAGTATTACATGTATGTTCATAACTAGGACTGAATAGATAAGAGATTACTCTGATAAAACTCTGTATAATTTATGAATCTTGAACAGTTTAAGAGAATTTTTAAATTTAAAGTATATGACAGGCTGGTCTGGGAGACCCTTTTACTGCAAAACAACTAGATCCTGGATACCTAGGTAAAATGTGTTTTTGGATGCACTGCTGAGCTTGCAGGAAATCGGGATAATTTCTAAGAACAGACAGCAAGCAGGCGGAGGAGGAAGTCAGTTGCCCAGAGGGCAGATGCCAGTTAGCAGCACTGCTATTGGAGGCCAAGCAATGAAGAACAGATACAGTGGGGAACATCAGTAATGGCAGAAGTTGGCTCTTGAAAAGACTGATAAAAGAGACAAGCCCTTAACTACAGTTGGTTGAGGGGGGAAACAAAATGAAAGCTTAAACAATATTTTAAATGATGAAAGAAACATTACAGATGAGCCAGGTTGGCAGCTCAAGGGCTACGCTTTTTTTCCTATGATATCAACTCTCAGAGTTAGCAAAGAGAGGTATTTGAATTGAGGGCTTTGAAAAAAGTTACTTCATTTATTGCATATCTTTTACAAACTTCATTTCCGTGGCAAGGTTATCTGCCTACCATAATCCGTGTAGTTTGAAGAATTGATTTTAGGTGAAAATCCTTTAACTCTTACCATCGAATGTTTCTGGTTTTTATTTTTGAAATAGCATAGAGCCATTTTGGATCTCCCAAATGAACTATGCTGAGGTCTTAGTGATTTATTGCAATGGTAATGAGAGCTGGACATGGCCACCCCCAGTGTTACTGCACCTGTGGGTCCCAGGGCCAGGAAGACTCTAGCAGAGCTTCTTGATGGATGGGGTATGGGCACTGTGGGAGCAGGGGCTTCTAGCAGGAGGGGCTCGAGCGAGTCTGGAACAATGACTTCAATTTACGTGCTGGTCTAGTCTACACATTGGGAATTATACTACCTGTGTAAATGGTTGGCAGCAATGTATATCCAAGAAGGATGGCCAAAGAAAGAAGTCATGTTAGAATTACTCAGCGTTCTTCTTATTGAATCCTGTAGTTCTGCTTCCTTGAGCTACTCAGTCCTGTACTTAAAATTCATCATTCACTATTTTACAATTACAGGTTACCTTTGGAGCACCATGGTATTTCAATGTGGATAGTTCGTATTGCTTCCCAAAGAAATCAGGAATTTTATCAATTAAAGAAAAGACTTAATGACTTATGTTAAAAGTGAGCATGGTGGCTCACACCTGTAAAATCTCAGTGACTCAGGCGGCTGCAACGGGAGGATTGCTTGAGGCCACGAGTTTGAGACCAGCCTGGGCAACATAGCAAGACCCGTTCTCAAGAAAAAACACTTGTAAAAAAAATTTAGCTGTGTCTGGTGGTACATACCTATAATCCCAGGTACTCACAAGTCTGAGGCAGGAGGATCCCTTGAGCCCAGGAATTCGGGGCTGCCAGTAAGCTATGGCCAAGCCACTGCATTCCACTCTGGGCAACAGAGTGAGACCCTGTCTCTTTAAAAAAAGAAAAGAAAAGTGCATAAAGTATTGGTTAAGACACTACAACTTTAATAAATAGCATTGTGTTTTTTAATACTTGAGAAAAACGTCTGTTAATAAGGCCCTTGTGTGTTCCAGATGGCCGGCAACATATTTTGAGTTTGGGCATGGACTTGCAGTTGGAATGGATGAAATTAGAAGATTTTCAAAAGCATCTTGATGGGGAAGATGAGAATTTTGCCACAGCTGATGCAATTCCAAGTAGTGAGTAGTTTTGGAGTTGTAGAAATCCTTTTCACAAATTTATACATACAACCTAATTTATCTTTCTTCATTTTAGATTTGTTGAGGGATGCTGTGAAAAATGGGGATTATGTTACTGTAAAGGTTGCACTTAATTCAGATGAAGAGTATAACCTGGACCAAGAGGTAATATGTTTTTGAAAAAAATCTCATGAAAAGAAGTTGGAAAGTAGCTCTTTTAAAAGAATTCTATTTGATTTTTCATTTATTTTATAAAGGTAATGTGTATTCACTGTGTAAAATTCAAACATTGTAGAACTCTATAAATGTGCAATTATAGTCCCTGTAATTCCAAACTTCTCTCAAATGACCATTTGGTTTGGTTATGATCTAGCTGGGTTTGTCTGTAATCTTCCTTCTGCCACTTAGAGGAGTGTAAAATGACTCCTATTCTCTTGTGGCCAGTTGTGTTCTTTGATAGTTGCCCATTTATAGCAATTGCCCATCTTTCTGTTGTTGCTGGGGATTATTCACATTGATGTAGATGGGTGCTTTTTATATGGAAGCATGTTAATTCTTTCTGGTTTTTAAGTTTTGTGTTTTGGTTCTTATATTGCTTAGAAGATTTTTATATTTTCTTCTTTAGTTTTGGATTTTTTAGGTTTAATTCTTTGAGATTATAGTTCAAAAATTATTGGGATTGATTTTGATTAACATTGACATTTTTATTTACATTTGAGTCTTCCATCTAGGAACATAACTCTTTTTTTTTTTTTTTTTTTGAGACAGTCTCACCGTGTTGCCCAGGCTAGAGTAAGTGCCGTGGCGTCAGCCTAGCTCACAGCAACCTCAAACTCCTGGGTTCAAGCGATCCTCCTGCCTCAGCCTCCCGAGTAGCTGGGACTTACAGGCATGTGCCACCATGCTTGGCTAATTTTTCTATATATATTAGTTGGCCAATTAATTTCTTTCTATTTATAATAGAGACGGGGTCTCACTCCTGCTCAGGCTGGTTTCAAACTCCCGACCTCGAGCAATCCGCCCACCTCGGCCTGCCAGAGTGCTAGGATTACAGGCGTGAGCCACCTCGCCTGGCCTAGGAACATAACTTTGTACATTCATTCAGCTCTTTTTTTGTTTTTGTTTTTTGGAGACAGTCTCACTCTGTTGCTCCAGCTAGAGTACAGTGGTGTCATTGTAGCTCACTGTAACCTCAAACTCCCTGGGCTCAAGCGATCCTTTTGCCTCAGCCTCCTGAGTAGGTGGGACTACAGGTGCACATCACCACACCCTGCTAATTTTTCTGTTTTTAGTAGAGATGGGTTTGCTCTTGCCGGGTCTGGTCTCGAACTCCTGAGCTCAAGCAGTCCTCCGTCTCAGCCTCCCAGAGTGGTAGGGTTACAGCCCACTGCCCTACCCCTCATTCCGCTCATTCTTTGCCGTTAAGGAAAGTTCTGTGGGTCTTTTCCTTTGTGGTGACCTTGCACCTTTCTTTTAGATGTATTTCTACAAGTTTTATAATATTTTGTTACCTTACTCTGCTCATTAGAGTCTTTTTTCACACAGTTTTCTAACTACTGCTTATAGATGGTGAAGCTGCTAATATCTCTGTGCGTGTTTATGTGTGTATATGTGTGTCTCCAGTCACTTAATGAAATCCTCTTACTCTGATAATTTTTAAGTTACTGTCTTTGGATTTTCTAGGTAGATATCATCTGCCCCCAAATAATTCACTGTTCATTTTTTATCATGCAAACTGTTGATGTGCCATTAGAATTTAATATAGGCATTCCTCAGAGATATTGCTGGTGGACTTCTAGACCCCTGCAATAAAGCAAGTCACACAAAGTTTTTGGTTTCCCATAGGTTTAGACTATAATACAGACCTTATTAAATGTGCAGTAGCATTATGTCTGAAAAAACAATGTACATGTCTTAATTAAAAAATACTTCAGGCCGGGTGTGGTGGCTCACACCTGTAATCCTAGCACTCTAGAAGGCCAAGGCAGGCGGATGGCTCGAGGTCGGGAGTTCGAAACCAGCCTGAGCAAGACCTCGTCTCTACTAAAAATAGAAAGAAATTAATTGACAAACTAGAAATATATATACAAAAAATTAGCCGGGGCTGGGCGCGGCGGCTCACGCCTGTAATCTTACTTAGCATTCTGGGAGGCCGAGGCGGGTGGATTGCTCGAGGTCGGGAGTTCGAAACCAGCCTGAGCAAGACCCCGTCTCTACTATAAATAGAAATTAATTGGCCAACTAATATATATAGAAAAAATTAGCCGGGCATGGTGGTGCATGCCTGTAGTCCTAGCTACTTGGGAGGCTGAGGCAGGAGGATCACTTGAGCCCAGGAGTTTGAGGTTGCTGTGAGCTAGGCTGACACCACGGCACTCACTCTAGCCTGGGCAGCAAGGTGAGACTGTCGCAAAAAAAAAAAAAAAATTAGCCAGGCATGGTGGCACATGCCTGTAGTCCCAGCTACTTGGGAGGCTGAGGCAGGAGGATTGCTTGAGCCCAGGAGTTTGAGGTTGCTGTGAGCTAGGCTGACGCCACAGCACTCACTCTAGCCTGGGCAACAAAGTGAGACTCTGTCTCAAAAAAAAAAAAAAATCATTGCTGAAACATGTTGGCACAGACACATGAAGCAAGCACATGCTGTTGGAGAAACGCCGCCAGCAGCTCTGCTCCATGAAAGGTCATTACAAACCTTCAATTTGTAAAAAAAGGCAGAATCTTTGAAATGCAGTGAAGCAAAGTGCAATAATACAAGGTATGCCTATATAGGAAAGTTGTAAGGTTTTATGGTAACAGTTATATGCAAAAAAAAAAATATCTAAAGTTATAGTTTCTTAAGTTTTAGGATATTTTAGTGAAAAACATAAGATGCTTAAATCAATGTGCGTTAGTGATTTCACATCGAAACATCTTAGGTAAAAAGACATGATTCTAAAATTATTGAGTAAAGATGAACGATTTTTTTATTTAACGCAACCGCGGCAGGACGCCAGCGGGATGACGCTGGTGATGCTCGCTGCGGCGGGGGGACAGGACGACCTCCTGCGCCTCCTCATCACCAAGGGCGCCAAAGTGAACGGCCGGCAGAAGAACGGGACCACTGCCCTCATTCACGCTGCCGAGAAGGTCTGTGGCTTCCTGTGCATCCGTTTGAGGGTTTTTAGTGGGAATTCCTGCCAACGGACTGAGAATCTGCCTCTGTAGTGAAATATAGCAGCCGTGCGGCCACGTAACTTTATAACTTTGTGTTTCAGTTGATCTGTGACTTCTAATGAATAGACTTTTTAATCATCAGTAGTACTTTGTAATCAAATTTTCAAAATATGATTTATGTAGTTAGAAGTAATTTATATTGAATTAAAGTGTTCTGATTAGGCTGGGCATGGTAGCCCACACCTGTTATCCTAGCACTCTGGGAGGCTGAGGTGGGAAGCTTGAGGTCAGAAGTTCAATGCCAGCCTGAACAAGACCCCTATCTATACCAAAAATAGAAAAATTAGCCAGGAGTGGTGGCACAAGGCTGTAGTCCCAGCTATTTGGGAGGCTGAAGCAGAAGGATGGCTTGAGCCCAGGAGTTTGGGATTGCTGTGAGCTGTGACGATGCCACTGCACTCTATTTCAGGCAACAGAGCAAAACTCTGTCTTGAAAAAAAAATTAAGTACTCTGATGAAAGTTCTAATATTGATTTCAGTCTTGGATAATTTGAAAGTCTTTTCCCAGCCGGGCACAGTGTCTCACGCCTATAATCCTAGCACTCTGTGAGGTCAAGGCGGGTGGATGGCTCAAGGTCAGGAGTTCTAAACCAGCCTGAGCAAGAGCGAGACCCAGTCTCTACTAAAAATAGAAAAATTAATTGACCAACTAATATATATAGAAAAAATTAGCTGGGCATGGTAGTGCATGGCTGTAGTCCAGCTACTCGGGAGGCTGAGGCAGAAGGATTGCTTGAGCCCAGGAGTTTGAGGTTGTTGTGAGCTAGGCTGATGCCACGGCACTCTAGCCTGGGCAACAGAGGGGAAAAAAAAGAATTTTGGATATCAATTTGCTTTTTTTTCTTTATAGAACTTTCTAACCACAGTGGCTATCCTTTTGGAAGCGGGAGCTTTTGTGAACGTGCAGCAGAGCAATGGCGAGACCGCGCTAATGAAGGTAAATCCTCCCGCAGGTGTGGATGTTGGTGCCTTCCACAGCCAGACCCAGTGCTGGGGCCTGGGAATAGCCTGGGGAAAGAGACAGTCCCCAGAGCCCAGCAGCTCACAGAGGAGCAGTGGACCTGGCCCAGGGGCTCTCACCGTCTCCATCGCCCTTTGCCCTCCTCACAAAGAGCCACCAGGCACGCATGGAGAAAGGGACCAATGCCAGTTAGTAGTTACCATGGTTTACAGTTAAGTAATTGTTATCTTTTTCCTGACCTAGGCCTGTAAGAGAGGAAATTCGGACATCGTACGGCTTGTAATTGAATGTGGAGCTGACTGCAATATTTTGTCAAAGCACCAAAATAGTGCACTGCATTTTGCAAAGCAGTGTAACAATGTGCTCGTGTACGACTTGCTGAAGAGCCATTTGGAGACGTAAGTGGCGAGTGATCCTGCCATGGTGAAGTCACAAAGTACACTCTATTTGTTTATTTGGCTACATCAAAATTGGAACAGCCTGTGTGTAACTACTCAGAAAAAGATTAAGTACAAGTCCTGATAGGTTTTTGTTTCCAGTAGATGATGAATTTAATAAGCGACACATGAATTATTTTTCTGCAAGTTATTGGAGTCTTAGACAGTTTCACACTTAACAGTGGCATATCAGGGAATATCTCCTTAAAATCTTAAGTGTGCTCTTAATTTAGTTAACAAACATTTTCTTAAAACACTTTAAACTTTATATTCTTTCTAATAGACTATTGTTTACAGCAATTTTAGGTTCACAGCAAATTGAGGAGACAGTAGTTTTTTCAAAGGCCCTCTGTCCCGCCATGGAGGTCTCCCCAGCAGAGGGCGTGCTGTTACTGCCCGTAGCCCTGTGCTGACACACCCCTCACCACCCACAGTCTGTGGCTTCCTGGAGGGCTCGCCCTTGGTGTTTCGGTCTGTGGGTTTGGACAGATGCATAATGACAAGTGCCTACCATTGCAGTTTCGTACAGGAGATTTTACAGCTTTAAGAGTCCTGTTTTCCACCTGCTGGTCCCTCCCTCTCCCTAACCCCTGGCAACCACCTCTCCTTTTACTGTCTCCATAGTTGGAATCAAATATTATTTGGCCTTATCAGCTTGGCTTCTTTCACTTAGCAATAGCATGTAAGGTTCCTTCCATGCCTTGATAGCTCATTTCTTTTTAGCACTAATATTCCATTGTCTGGATGTATCAGAGTTTATTCAAGTTCATTCTTTTCCTTTTATTTATTTATTTTTAAACAGAGACAAGAGTCTTGCTCTGTCTCCCAGGCTGGAGCACAGTGATGAGATCACAGCTCACTGTAGCCTTGAACTTCTGGGCTTAAGCGATCATCCCACCTAAGCCTCCTAAGGAGCTGGGATCACAGGTGTGAGCCCCCATGCCTAGCAAGTTCATTCTCTGACAGATGGATTCTAAATTTTATTATTGTAGCTTCAAACTTCATAACACAAGTAAGTTAATACTTAAAAATTCTTTTGGTGTCCACCTGGAAGCAGAGTGTGGAACGATGGACAGTGGCGACTCGCGGGGGGAGGATGGGCTGTAGGGTGGGAGGCTGCCTGGTCGGCACAGTAGGCGGCTCCGTGATGCACGCACTGAAGGCCCTGCCTTCACCACAGTGCAGTCTCCAGTGTAACAGAGCTGCACTTGTAGCTCCCTGTGAATGTATAGAAATGAAGAATAAATGGGGAAGGAAATCATTCTTTTCTCAACACATGTCAGGAACCCTACAAACAGCAGCCAGCTCAAGTAAGGTGCTTATGCTTCATCTAAAGGGGTCCTGGGACAGCCACCCCGTCTCCTCCTGGTCCACTATACCTAGAAAATGACCTGGATCGTCATGCCTACAAGATAGTTACCCCACCTCCAGACTTAAGGTCTACATTGCAAAGAGAAAGGTAGATTTCAGCTGAGACAAAAAAGGCGCGTGTCTGGTCTGTCCTCTGGACAGCCTTTGCTGGGAGCCCCGCACCCCGCGGCCCAGTGCGTGCAGTGCCATGACGGCTGCAAGGGAACCTGGGGAACGGTAGGGCGACCCACTTTCCTGTTTGCCCAGGACTGAGGAGTTATCGTTTCTGGTTTTCCATGTATTCATTAGACAAATATATTTTTGGCATAAATTTATGGGGTATAATTTTGTGGCATTGGTATATTGCATAATGGTGAAGTCAAGGCTTTTAGTGTATCTATCACTGGAGTAATGTACACCATACTGATTAATTTCTCATCACCCACCGCAACTCTTCCAGGTCTCCACTGTCTGTCAGTCCACACTGTGCTTCCATGACTTAGCTCCAACTTATAAATGAGAACATGCCATACTTGTCTTACTGTGTCTCTGTTGTTTCACTTAAGATAATGGCCTCCAGTTCCATCCATGTTGCTGTAAAAGACAGGATTTTACTCTTTTATAGCTGAATAGTACTCCATTTGTGTATGCACCACATTTTCTCCACCCATTCACCCGCTGATGGACACTTAGGCTGATTCCGTATCTTTGCTTTTGTGATAGTGCTGCGGTAAACTTGAGAGTGCAGACGTCTTTCTCCTACAATGAACAGCTGTAGTGAATACACTCTTTGTGCCTGGCACTGTTCTGAAGGTCAGGAATGTGGAAATGGCAGGTGGGGAAAAAGACTTGTCCTCTTAGGATCGCTTGAGCCCAGGAGTTTGAGGTTGCTGTGAACTAGGCTGATGCCACGGCACTCTAGCCCGGGCAACCGAGTGAGACTCAAAACAAGTTTGCTAGGATTATAACATTTTTTATTCTATGAGTTACAACAATTTAATTAGTCAGTTTTTTTTTTTCTTTCCCATAGGGCTTGTTTTCACTTTCTAGTGAAGATCAGCAGTGAAGAGGCAGGGGTCTTCCCTGTACCCTTGACGCACTCTCATTTCCCAAAGCAGCACAGGCCAGGAGGGCGGCCAGTCTGCTGCCGTCAGAAGCCCAGGTTACAGCTGGCTCTTATGGACCTCAGGCCCCACGACCACATTACTTCAAGGCTCAAAATAATTAAAAGTCCCAACAGCTTAGATTTTACATTACTTATTTGCACAACATTAATATTAACAATCCTTACTGTCCTTTTTTTCTTAGACTTTCAAGAGTAGCAGAAGAGACAATAAAGGATTACTTTGAAGCTCGTCTTGTTCTACTGGAACCAGTCTTTCCAATAGCATGTCATCGACTCTGTGAGGGACCAGATTTTTCAACAGACTTCAGTTACAAGCCCCCACAGAACATTCCAGAAGGTAAGCTTATGCTTACCTTCAAACTTCTCTCAGTTTGAAGTGTGACACTGCAAATACTGATTTTTAGACAGAATCCTTTCTTTGAACAAAATCTTAAAGAAAAATCCGTTATGTGCAATAATTCTGTAAAATAGTTAATAGCAGAGCTACTGTGACATGAGAGCCAGCTAATGCCCCCATCCCACAGGGGACTTTGTAGAGTCTGCAGAGCACCATGTTAACACTGGTTTAAAAAGCATAAAAGTTGGGTCTAAATAATTACATAACTTTTTATTACATTTTATTCTAGCTTAGCTTCATGATTCTAAGCCTAGAATCTTTAACCCTGAATTTGGGTTATTATTACAAATAGTCTTTGCCTTTAAAAAAAAAAACAATTGTTACTCCATAGCAGAGTAGGAAAGATGGAAAGTTCAGCTCTCTCCCTAGCCTGCGCTTCCAGAGGCTCTTTCAGATGGGACGATGACCATGGCCCGACGCTGGCCTCTGGGACGCGTGCCGCGCGCACGTGAGGAGGTGACGCTGCTGGGCTTTTTGCTGTTAGAAATGCCCACTCCCCGTTTTAGAAATGGCATTCACTAACGTTGAAAATGGAGCGCTGCTGAGTAAAGAGCACCGTTTGTGACATCGTGGTGTTGAGTGAACTTGACATGGGAGTCAGTGTTTATAGTTCTGGCTGTTCGCTCAAACCATGTGCACTGCTGGGTGTGAGTGCCAGAGAGCATCGAGCCAGGCGGGCCACCTAATGAGTCCATGAGCGTTGGCACAACCGGACCAGCTTAGGTGAGAGCTTTTCCTGCCCGCGCACGATGTCTGCATCCACCAAGTGAAGTCTCCAGTCTGAGAGACCCTGGTAGGCTTTCCTTGGCCTTTGCTGCTCCGGGCACGGTCTCTGCATGCAGCCAGCAGCAGGTTCTCAGGCTCCAGCCCAGCAGCCCGCACTTCTGAACGTTGGTCTTCTCCTGGGTGAGATCTCAGGTGATTTGTAAACACATTAAAATTACATACACTACTTTGGCCTCTTGAGGGACTTTGGCTGTTAAGAAATATAATCATGTTAACGCATAGTTTGGCTAAAGAAAAAAACTGAATTGAAACAGCTGTTAGCAAACTGCTTATGTCATTTTAGACCTATGAAACTCAAGCACTGGTCAGACTGATGAACACCCCTCCGTTAGACGTAACTCACCGTGGCTAGCAGAAATAGAAACGTGATCCGCTGAGAGGATGGCCCTGCAGGCCACCCGAGCCTGCCAGGGCTGTGCACTGCCTTCCTCCAGGGACTCTCGGGGAACACTTGGCCCTCCTGGGCGCCCAACCTTGCATCTCATGTGCTGTTTCACAGTGGACCTGGCTGGGGAAGGAGACAGAGACAAGACTGTCCCTGTCTCTGTCTTGTTCAGGCCTTGTCTCTCCCTTGACCAGGGGTGGGGTGTGTGCATTATAAAGCTAGAGGGCAAACTGTCCTACCTCAGACAGCTTGAAAAGAGGCCAAACAGGCAGGGCCCAGGTGCCCTTTTTCCCTGGTTCTTTGGGGTCTTGGAAAGTTTTCTCTTGTTGATGGCTGGCTTAGAGCAATACTGTATCATGTTAAAAATGGTTGGTGGGTTTCACAGGTCATACAGTTCATACACCTATTTTCTGTTTTATTACTAAAAATATGGCTATTGTTGAAAAAGAAGTTACTGAAATCAAAAATATTCTATAAGTTTCACATCTCATGTTAGCATTTTTTTTTTCCACGTAAGATTTTTTGGTATTAATCAGAAAGTTTGGAAAAGGCAAAACAATACGTGGGAAAAAATGGAAAGCCGGTCAGACCCACATCCAGATATAACCACTACAGAGCTGTCCGTGGCTTTGCTTCCAAGGACAGGGACATACACTTAGCAGCAACTTTAAAATACTATTAAAAACTTATTTAACTTTAGTATAGAAAATCATATTTAAGTCTTTTCCAGGAGCTATCAGTACAGATTAAGTAAAAAGTGGCCAGATGTGGCGCCTCACACCTGTAGTCCCAGCTCCTCAGGAGGCCAAGGCCCAGGAGGATCACTGGAGCCCAGGCGTTCGAGGCTGCAGTGAGCTGTGATCGCACCTCTGCACTCCAGCCTGGGCAGCAGAGCAAGACCCTGTGTCTCAATTAAAAAAAAAAAAAAAAAAGTAAAAAGTGTTCTGTGGTTTGAAAAGAGCTAGGTGACACATACATGCTTTGAGATTGGCGGTTTTCTCAGGGCCTTCAGTCTGAAAGGGCGGGTGGGACCCATCTGCCCAGGCCTAGCTGAGGGTGCTCCCGTCTTGCATGGGTGCTCCTCCCGCAGGGGTCTGAAGACTGTAAGTGTAATAAATCTACTCACATCTCCCATTTTCAGGCTCTGGCATCCTGTTGTTCATTTTCCATGCAAACTTTTTGGGTAAAGAAGTTATTGCTCGCCTCTGTGGACCATGCAGCGTACAAGCCGTGGTTTTAAATGATAAATTTCAACTTCCTGTTTTTCTGGTAAGATATTAAAAAGTACATTCTTCTAATCAAAAGCACAGATGACTTAATTTTAAATGCCTATGTTATAATAAAATGCAATCATTTAGTAAGTGATTCAGTAAATCAGTTGTTGGGAATGAGGCAATACCCATAATCATAAAATTACCCTAGTTTTGTCAGTAGTGATTTTTCTAAATGTTTAATTCATGTCTTTGCCTTAAATTATGCTTAACACTATGTCTTGGAACCAGCATTATTCTGAATATAAGTTCTTACAGTACAAGAAACATACTGCCTGATTTTAAATACTATGCCCTTTTCCACCATTGTAATTACAAACATTCTTTCGTACTTCAGATACCAAATACAACCACATAACATTGGTTGTATCTATGCTTAGTTTTAAAGCATAATTAATATTAGTGGCTATGTAAATTCCTTTTTAACATCATAAAAAATGCTCCCGAAGATTCTTTTGCCACCTTTAGAATTCTTTCCTTGGCCTGAATTAATAAGCACGATTGACCTGGGCATGGACATTTTTAACACTTGTACTGTATGTGGCAGGATGTATTCAAATCCCCAAAATTTTCCTGGCTGTTGTCTTTACTCATTTGTATCTTTTTAATAAATACAGAAAACAATTAAATCAACATCAACTTATAAAATAAAAAATAAAATTTACACGTGATTCTCTTATACCTTTGGAGTTTTAAAGGTTTCTGTCTCTATTGGGAAAGGCTACACAGTCCAGCTGTCCCTTTCTACACGTGTTGAGTCTGTCTGCAGAAACAGTGACTCTCTCTCTTTTTCCACTCCAGGACAGTCATTTTGTTTACTCGTTCAGCCCTGTCGCAGGCCCCAATAGACTCTTTATAAGGTTGTCGGAAGCACCCTCTGCTAAGGTGAAAATTTTTTCATCATATTTAGTGTTGTTGCGCAAACTGTCACTATAGATTACTTAGAATCGTTACAAGAAAATTTAAAGAATGCGGTGGAGTGCCCGTCCTAGAGACACGCACTCCCTGGGGCAGCAATGCTGGGCGCGCTGCTGTGTCTGATGTAGGCAGGACGTGTCACACACTGACTGGGCGTGACAGCAAGGGGACTGAGGGTGGGGCTGAAGAGAATGCCTCTCTGGAGGGTGGAGCAGTGAGCCGTGTTCTAGGCTTTGGTGTTGAAGTCCCACATGTATGTCTTGACCTTTAGGCTGGTCACCAATCTCTCTATGAAGGAAGCTGGAGTAATATATTCAGTCCATCTAATATAGTTACTTAACATTACCTAAAATCAAATTGTAAGCACTTGGATTTCTTTTTTTTTTTTTTTTTTTAATTAAAATGGCACGTGTGTAGTCACAGCTACTCTGGGCTTTAGTGTGCTATGCTGATCTGGTGGCCGCACCAGATCCAAATGGTATCCAAATGGTGACCTCTGGGTAGTGGGGGCCTAAGGGGTGAACTGGCCCAGGTCAGAAACAGATCAGGTCAGTACTCCGGTGCTGGTCAGTAATGGTGCCTGTGAATAGCCACCAAACTCCAGCCTGGGCAACACAGTGAGACCGTGTCTCTATAAAAGCAATAATCTAACAATGTAAATTGGTTAACCAAGTTGAAAATATCGCCAAATAAGAGAAATAATTCTTGGCCATGTGGGGGGTTTTTTTTTTTTGCTTGTAAGAAAGGAGTATTCTAGTTCTGTACTGATGCACTCATTTTTTTACTTTCAATAGGTGAAGTTGCTAATAGGAGCATACAGAGTGCAGCTACAATGACCAAGCAGAAGGGATTGGGATGCAGTCATTTCCAGATCAATTCCTAAATATTCTCTTTGAAGCAGTTTGGAATTCTTCTGGCACATGTCAAACTTTCACTTGTAAAGTTTTGTCTGCAAACCTCCTGTGGCGTGACCCTGTCGTCTGTTGTAGTCTGTAAGATAGGATGCAGATGTGTTTGTGCCAGTGTTTGGGAAGCTCAGCATTGTGTCCAGACTGCATATTTCAATTTTTCCACAATGTGGATGGTACATATGAAATTATTTAAGGAAATTAAAGACTTTTTTTTTTTTTTAACTTGAAATTTTCTACTGGCCCTGGTGAATTCCTGTTAAAAAAAAAAAAAAAAAGGTTGGGGGTGGATATTCAACTATGAAGCATTTGCTTACAGCAAGGGAGCAGTGTGATATTCAGTTTACCCAATGCCAAGTAAGTGTGGCTTTGCTGCCCTGGAGAGTGATTGAACTGATGTGGTGATGGGGAGAGGCCTGATCTTTTCCTAATATACAGCTGCCATATGTCCCCCAAGCAGAAAGGGTGGCGGTGGCAGTAACTCAGTAACAGCACAGTGATCACTTATGCTTTCAAGTGCTAACATGATAATAAAAATGAAAATCTAAGATGTAACGAGTTCAAACCAGGACGTTATAAGGCCTAAAAGAGAATATTAAATGTGAACTTTTATCCTTGTTCTTGGAATTTCAAGTAATTTTGAAAAGCCACCTCCTGTGTTTTAAACACTAACTGGGAAGACCAGCCTCAGGTCCCAGCCAGGCCTGCCTGTCCCAGGGGCTGAGCCAGATGTCAGGGTGTGCCTGGGGGAAAGATGTCCCACTTCTGTAGATTGCCTCACAGCTCTAACTCTTACATCCTCTTAAATATTTGGCAAGCACTCTCAGTCTAGATTATGAAAAAGTTGAAAATTGTTTAGTTCACTAGTTTATAATTGTATGAAATATTTTAATGTGAGTTTTTCAGAATATCACATGACGATGTTAGACCCATATACATCGTATAGCCATTTCAGAGAACCATTTTACTTTACATCCTAAAAATGCCTTTTCCCATAGTTTCCTCAATAAAACACCATGATGTTGTTCTATTTCCTTTTTATCTCAAATCTCAGGATGTAATTTGTTATGCCTAAAATGAACAGCCTTACAGGAACAGATCACAAGGGCTAGCTGGGCGCAGTGGCTCATGCTTGTAATCCTATCACTCTGGGAGGCCAAGGTGGCCAGATCATTTGAGTTCAGGAGTTCGAGACCAGCCTGAGCAAGAGCAAGACCCTATCTCTACTAAAAATAGAAATTAACTGGCCAACTAAAAATATATATTAAACAAAATTAGCCAGGCATGGTGGTGCATGCCTGTAGTCCCAGCTACTCGGGAGGCTGAGGCAGGATTGCTTAAGCCCAGGAGTTTGAGGTTGCTGTGAGCTAGGCTGACGCCGCAGCGCTCTAGCCCGGACAACAGAGTAAGATTAGACTCTATCTCAAAAAAAAAAAAGATGGCAGAGCTAACATGTAACTAACCCAAACAGAAAATCTGCACACAGTTCTGGTATAGTTTAGGCTGAGGAAAAGCAGACACATATGACAGTTGTCAAAAAACTGATTCTTGGCTGGGCGTGGTGGCGCACGCCTGTAATCCTAACACTCTGAGAGGCCGAGGTGGGCAGATTGCTCAAGGTCAGGAGTTCAAACCAGCCTGAGCAAGAGTGAGACCCTGCCTCTACTATAAATAGAAAGTAATTAATTGGCCAACTAATATGTATAGAAAAAATTAGCTGGGTATGGTCGGGAGGCTGAGGCAGGAGGATTGCTTGAGCCCAGGAGTCTGAGGTTGCTGTGAGCTAGGCTGACGCCATGGCACTCACTCTAGCCTGGGCAACAAAGCGAGACTCTGTCTCAAAAAAAAAAAAAAAAAAACTGATTCATGAAAAACGATAAAGAATTTTGAAATTTTAATACTTCATGCAGTCAACATTTCACAACATAAAGTTTTAAACTTAGTCCCAAATCTCTGCCCAAAGTGAAGACCACTTACTTACGGGATACCGTTTTCCTTTGTCTTATGCTGACTTGCAGATAATTCTCCTTACAGACCAAACCTGGGGTTTTCAAACGTGACTTCTCCCTCCAAGCATCTTGAGTTAATTTATAAAACAACCTGAATAAAAATGGAAATCCTTAACCATAAAAAATGTGCCCTTGAAGCTATGTTTTAAAATGTAAAGTGTCATATTTACTCCATAAATGTACTTAAATGGACTAATAAAGTCATTAAGTGAAATAAAATTTGTTTCCTATCTTTATTAAAAGTATTTTTCTCACAAAATGATTTGACCTGAAAGAAATTCTTCAATATTAAACAGAAAATAATTTCCATAGTTTGTCTAAAGAAAGAAAGAGGTTTCAGTCATGAAATAATTTGCTAGACTGAGCAACAGACCCCAAAATTATTCCGATTCAATATTAAAATTTTTGAAAGAGGAAACTATTTGGAAATGGTACTGTCTTAACTCTTTATAATAAAAGCAAATCATTCAATGCCATTTTTACTAGAATTAAATGTATATTTGACACTTTAATAATTTAACTTTCTTTACATGTTTCTGGAATGAACCCCCGTTTCTTTTCACTTTCTTAGGAAATAAACTCTGATGAAAAGCAGTTATTTCCATTAACAGTATTCACAATTTCTAATTAATTTCAAAATCCTTAAGATCAGTGACAAATCTGCTTGACAATCTTATGAAATCTCTTCCTCCCTCTCTGAAGGCCATATAATGCCACAGCTTTTATCTATGCCACAGGTAGCCTACATACAGATTTTTTTCCCTATCCATATTTTGAGATTGTTTCTTAAATTTTAAGGGATCTACATATACAGCAATTTGAAAATTTAATCCCAACAAAATGTCTCACAGAATATATAAAATTACTTCATAAACATAGTTCAAAGGGTAATTCTAATTTTTCCATTAGTAATTCCTTAGGTAAGTAGTTCTCTAGTAGAAACCAAAACACACCTGCAGGACTTTAAAAAATAAAGAAAACATACTGCCAGGTTCCCTATGGCAGAGTTTCTGTTCCGTAGGCTCAGGGTGTGGCGTGGGGATGTGCACCCTAAGGTGCAGATGATACTGCTAGCCTACAGAACAGGCTTAGAACCCATGCCTAAGATGGATTTTCTACACCTGGGTAACAGTATGCAAAAGAACTGCACACACCCTTGAAGACACTTAGACATTATCAAAGGTACAGAATACTTCAGTGCTTCTCCAAGTGCAGATACCTGCTGGGGTCTTGTTAAAATGGACGTTCTGGTCCACTGGCCTGTGTTCTGCATGGGAGATCCTGCATTTCCAAGCAGCTCTCAGGCAATGGCTTCAATCCTGGTGCCCAGCATCACACTTGGAACAACAAGACTAAGACAGAATAATGTTTATCATCAGGTAAGATAGCTAGGAAAGAAACCTCTACAGGTTAAAATAATACTTTCTGCATCTATCAGGATGACAATATACCCATTGGAAATTTATCATAAAGATTACATAATGTGTCCCAGCTACTCGGAGGGTGAGGCAGGAGGATTGCTTGAGCCCAGGAGACTGAGGTTGCTGTGAGCTAGGCTGATGCCACGGCACTCACTCTAGCCTGGACAACAGACTGAGACTCTATCTCAAAAAAAAAGAGAAAAGAATGAACAGATGATGCTGACTGACCTGAAAAGAAGGATAATTCCAGCACTCTAGGCCGGGCAACAGAGTGAGATGAGACTCTGTCTCAAAAAGAAAAAAAAAAAAACGATTACATAATGTAATGTTTCCAGAAAATCTTACAATGTCTGACATAACAAAAGAAAAACTGTAACCCCTCTCCAGAGAGGGGAAAGCAGAGAGGGAGAATGAAGCTAGTATCCCTAACATGGACCTGGGTTTTATGCCATTTTTTAAGATTAAACACTTTCCAAAGGAACATAAGACTAAAATTTTAGGTTTGGGGTCAATAAAAACCAATAGGGAATTTGTTCCCTTTTATTTTCTTCTCCTAACCCCAAAACCTCTATGTCATTCCTCATCTTAGTCCAATTTTCCTTAAAGACAATATACAGCACTACCCATGAGGAATAGGAGGGCAATCTGGAGCTAAAAGTCTCCACCAGCTTGCTCAAAGACTGGCAGTGACACCAGGGTTTCTGTATGAAGACTAGGTGGAGATGTAGAGGCTTCAGCTTCAGCTATAAACTACTCACAAGTATTCTAGGAAGAATGACTATGTGAAGGGCTGTCAGAAAATAATGAACAGGCCGGGCGCGGTGGCTCACACCTGTAATCCTAGCACTCTGGGAGGCCGAGGCGGGCAGATCACTCAAGGTCAGGAGTTTGAAACCAGCCTGAGCAAAAGCAAGACCCCGTCTCTACTAAAAATAGAAAGAAATCAATTGGCCAATTAATATATATAGAAAAAATTAGCCAGGCATGGTGGTATATGCCTGTAGTCCCAGCTACTCGGGAGGCTGAGGCAGGAGCCCAGGAGACTGAGGTTGCTGTGAGGCTGATGCCACAGCACTCGCTCTAGCCTGGACAACAGACTGAGACTCTGTCTCAAAAAAAAGAGAAAAGAATGAACAGATGATGCTGACTGACCTGAAAGGAAGGATAATTCCAGCTCTCCTGGTCTTCAAGCTCTTCTGAATTATGCTGGAAGCTTAACTTTAGGTAGTTTCATCCATGTTCTCTTTTATCACCCTAGGAATACAATAAAATCAGATTTAGCCTTTGAAAAACTGATTTCAGCAATCTACCAAAGACCAGAACGTTAACTTGTCTCTCTTAATGTTCTTAAGAGTAATCAAGGTTCTATAAATTTATCGTCTTGTTGTAGCTCCACGGTATAGTTATTTCTATTCAAATAAGGATTTTCCATTTAATTCAAAATATTCCCCATTTCTTCAAAGAACTAGCACCACCCACATAAAATTCAGCTTAATTTTATCTTTTGGCATTGAACTCTTTAAGTCCTAAATACTAAATAATTTTCAAATCTCCTAATGATTTAAAAGTGTTTTCTTAAGAGTATTTTACCAAATGCTATTTCCTTAGGCCCTCCAATATGG